TGTTTGGTGTCAGTGCAGCTGTAGGGCTGTCCCCGTTAGGCTGGTGACTGCAAGGACACCTCTGCCCGGCAGCCGTGGCACAGCAAGGGGCACCTGGGCACTGCCCCTCCTCAGGCTGTGCCAGGGGAGATTCAGCTGGGGAATCAGGAAAACTGCACTGGAAGAGTGGCCAGGCTCCCAGGAGGTGGAGTGCCCGTCCCTGGGGGGTTCCAAAAAGGAGCCCAGGTGCCCTGAGTGCCAGGGGTGGTGACTGTCCCTCTGTGCCAGGGGTGGTGGCTGTGCTGGTGACAGCTGTGGTGGCTGTCTCTCAGTGCCAGCTGTGGTGGCTGTCCCTGTGTGCCAGCCGTGGTGGCTGTGCTGGTGTCAGCTGTGGTGGCTGTCCCTGTGTGCCAGCTGTGGTGGCTGTCCCTGTGTGCCAGCCGTGGTGGCTGTCCCTGTGTGCCAGCTGCCGTGGCTCTGTCCCTGTGTGCCAGCCGTGGTGGCTGTGTCCCTCAGTGCCAGCTGTGGTGGCTGTGCTGGTGACAGCTGTGGTGGCTCTGTCCCTCAGTGCCAGGGGTGGTGGCCGTGTCTCTCAGTGCAAGCTGCGGTGGCTCTGTCCCTCACTGCCAGCCGTGGTGGCTGTCCCTGTGTGCCAGCTGCCGTGGCTCTGTCCCTGTGTGCCAGCCGTGGTGGCTGTGTCCCTCAGTGCCAGCCGTGGTGGCTGTGCTGGTGTCAGCTGTGGTGGCTCTGTCCCTCAGTGCCAGGGGTGGTGGCCGTGTCTCTCAGTGCAAGCTGCGGTGGCTCTGTCCCTCACTGCCAGCCGTGGTGGCTGTGTCCCTCAGTGCCAGCTGTGGTGGCTGTCCCTGTGTGCCAACTGCCGTGTCTCTGTCCCTCAGTGCCAGCCGTGGTGGCTGTCCCTGTGTGCCAGCCGTGGTGGCTGTCCCTGTGTGCCAGCTGTGGTGGCTCTGTCCCTCACTGCCAGCTGTGGTGGCTCTGCTGGTGTCACTGAAGGTCAGACTCGCTGATCTCGGAGGCTTTTCCAGCCCCTGTGGCTCTGTGGGGTCCCCTGTGCCTGGACAGGGACCTGTGCCCAGGTCCTGGCCGTGCCCGCCCGTGTCCCGCAGCTGTCCCTCCTCCTCGTTTCTTCTATTGGCATTGTCACTCTTCACCACTAATTAGCGGGAAATTAGCAGAAAAGGGCGCCGGTCTCTAACTTGACAGGAAACCTCTTCTTAAGGTGCTAAAGGCTCTTTTGAAAGCTCTCCTTTATTCCCAAGGAAGTTCCGCGGCGCAGATGCCTCGGGAGCAGCTTCATTTGCAGCAGGCAAATAAATAAATGAGCAGGCAGGCAGGAGCCGGGATATTTCCTTCCTGCACCGCCCCGGGGACCTGAAGACGAGGGCGAGCCCCGCGATGCCCTGGGCATCCAGGGCATGTCCCAGCAGCGCAGAAGGCTCCCGGCTCGCTGCCAGCCCATCCAGCCCAGTGGCCAGCCGAGGCTGACATAATTGCGTGTGCGTTAATTAACGCGTGTACGCTGTTTGCGGAGCCTTTAGCAGAACGGCAGCGGAGCGAGTGAGATGTGTATCGGCGCCGTGTAAGGAGGGGGAACGCTGTCTGCTGCATTAGAGCATGGCAGCGCTGATGCTTCATTAGCCTCCCCCATTTTCATGGAAATTAATTTCTTTGAGGAAAATCAAATCCGTACCTGGTGCTAATTGCCAGTGATAATGATGAGCTGTGACTCGGGAGAGGTTCATTATCGGGGCAGACCGTGTCTCCCCCGAGCTGTCCGGGCCTGGAATGCGTCTGGAAGTTGCACAGAGCTGCAGATTGCTGGGGTTAGTGCAGGAGCACAGTGGGGAAATGCGGCAGAGCCGTCAGGGACATGATCCCCCTGGCCAAGCAGCCTTTACACAAGGAAGATTGTCTTTCCTCTCTGAAAATAACCCCACGGCTCTTATTGATCATTTTATCTGAATTATGGATGATGCTTTTGTCAGCTCCATTATCCTGGTGAGGCAGGGCCGTGCCAAGGATTGTGTCACTGTCTCAGAGCCCATCCAGGGATCCACAGTTCCTTGGCTCCATCCCTTTGGCACCTTTGGTGGTTCCTTGTCCTGTTGGAAGTGAGAAAGGAACACTGGGGCTGAACTGCTGAGAAAACTCATCAGCAGAATGACTGCTTTTGCTGGGAGCCCCAGTAATACCTGGGGGCACTGGAGGGGTGCCATGATCTGAACTCACAGTGGGAGCATCTAAATCTGTCATAGAAATGCTGCTGCTCCTTGAAATTGGAACATGTAATGGGTAAAGCTGAAGTACATCACAAAATAATACACGGAATTACTTTGCAACCTGTTCCGTGATGACATTTTTTTTTTTTCCCAGGCTCATTTTACCCTTCTTCAGCGTTTAATAGCGTTCCCCAGTTTATTGGATATTTGTGGTGTAGCCTTGAAGGATAATGAGTTTTATCCTGGCAGATGTTGGACACCTTGTGTGCTAGAGAAGTTAATGGGAGCTGGAGATGATCAGCCCTTTGTGGGATCAGTCCTTGATTGAACAGACAGCACAGACTCCTGGCTGGGGCACGAGGAAAGAGCTCAGTGAGGGTTTCAGGAGAGTTTTGCAAAGGGCTGCAGCTCCACGTAAGGTTCCCACATGTCCATCTTGGAAACACCTGGGACTAAAATCCTGTCTGTGTCTTTTGTCAGTGAACACCATGGGAAATACTGACACTGGGCTGCACCCTGTGCACTGCACTCCAAACAGCCTGGATTGCTGGGCACAGAGCAGTGCTTCTGAAAAGCCTGCAGTGATGGCTGCCTGGGGACACAGCTGCCTGGGGGACACCCCAGGGGGACACCACGGCCTGGCTGGGGAGCAGAGGGAGCTCTGCTGCTCTCTGAGGGCTCGGGGGAGCTTGGGGGGCTGGCAGAGATGCAGGGGGTGTTCAGGGGCTGGCAGAGATGCAGGGGGTGCTCAGGGACTGGCAGAGATGCAGGGGGTGTTCAAGGGATGGCAGAGATGCAGGGGGTGCTCAGGGGATGGCAGAGATGCAGGGGGTGCTCAGGGGATGGCAGAGATGCAGGGGGTGCTCAGGGGCTGGCAGAGATGCAGGGGATGGCAGAGATGCAGGGGGTGCTCAGGGGATGGCAGAGATGCAGGGGAGACACACAGAGCCCTGTGGGAGCCATGTCCTGTCTGGGTCTGGTTTTGCTGGGGGGCTGAGAGGAGCCCCAGGAGGCCCAAACCCAATGAAGTTTGAAAAGCACATTTGCAGAACAAATCAAATTGTTGTTCTCGCCTCTCCTTCCACAGTGTCTGTTAAATCTTCCTGAGAAAGCTTTAGAATTAAACACACCACATTAAAAACATCATCCAAAGTGTGAGTGGAGTGTGCCCCAGCTTAGCAGGATGGAAATATTCAGCAAACTGCTTAAGTTATGCCAAATTCTCCCAAAGACTGTGGTTTAGCAAACTGGGATAACTGGAACTCCAGGCTCTTTTTTTGGTCTCTGTGGAGTGTAGGTTGGATCTCAGGGAAAGGTTCATCCCCAGAGGGTGCTGGCACTGCCCAGGGAATGGGCACAGCCCCAGAGCTCCAGGAGCCTTTGGGCAGCACTCCAGGGATGCCCAGGGTGGGATTTGGGGTGTGTGTGCAGGGCAGGGCTGGGCTGGATGATCCTGGGGGTCCCTCCCAGCTCAGGATATTCCACAATTCCGTGTCCTCGATCTGTCAGTGTTGCCAGAGTACTGCAGAACATTTTGCTTTGTGTTCAGCTGCAAATATTTGCAGTTTTTTCCTGATGGGAGCGTGTAGCAGCGCTCATAACGTTCTGACTGGTTTGGTTTCCTTCTGTTTGCAAACAGATTGGATTTGAAGGTCATAATTAGGAAAGCTGGTACCTTCATCCCCATATTGAACAATTCTCAGAAGTCATAAAACTTGAATAAGAATCACTTTATCCATGAGTAAAGCCAAGTTTAGCCCAGGAGATTTAAGAAGTTGGAGGAAATGTCACTGTTTTTGTTAAAAAGAAATCTTAATAGGATCTGGTTGCGGTGCCTCAGCAGCACAGTCACCCAGACTGCGGGAGCCTGGCAAAATCACTCCGTGCTAATTCTGTTTATAGCCAGAGCTGGAGCTGGAGCTCGGGCTGGCCTGGGAGCCGCCTGCCCTGCGGGTGGGAGCGGGGGTCGGGAGCCACCAGCTGTCCCCACTCCTGGTGTGTCCCCACTCCTGGTGTGTCCCCATCCCGGGCACGTCCCCATTCCTGGGCATGTCCCCATCCTGGGCACGTCCCCATTCCTGGCGTGTCCTTATTCCTGGTGTGTCCCCATCCCGGGCACGTCCCCATTCCTGGCATGTCCCTATTCCTGGTGTGTCCCCGTCCCAGGCACGTCCCCATCCCGGGCACATCGCCATCGTGGGCATGTCCCCATTCCTGGTGGGTCCCCTTTCCTGGTGTGTCCCCATTCCTGGGCATGTTCCCATCCTAGACACGTCCCCATCCCAGGCACATCCCCATTCCTGGTGTGTCCCCATTCCTGGTGTGTCCCCATTCCTGGTGTGTCCCCATCCTGGGCACATCCCCATCCTGGGCACATCGCCATCATGGGCATGTCCCCATTCCTGGTGTGTCCCCATCCCTGGTGTGTCCCCATTCCTGGTGTGTCCCCATCCCAGGCACATCCCCATCCCAGGTATGTCCCCATTCCTGGTGTGTCCCCATTCCTGGCATGTCCCTATTCCTGGTGTGTCCCCATCCCGGGCACATCACCATCATGGGCATGTTCCCATTCCTGGTGTGTCCCTTTTCCTGGTGTGTCCCCATCCCAGACACGTCCCCATCCCAGGCACGTCCCCATTCCTGGTGTGTCCCCATTCCTGGTGTGCCCCCATCCCTGCTGTGTCCCCATCCCTGCTGTGTCCCCATTCCCGGTGCCCCTGGACCACTGCCAGCCCCACCGAGGGCTCATCCACAGGCTCTGACCCCTGTCTGCTTCTCTTGCAGGCCCTGCTGCAAAAAAGAAGTACGTGAGCTACAACAACCTGGTGATCTAGGCACAGCTGCCGTGGCGGGGGCCACGAGCCCACCCGCCTCGCTGAGCTCCCCACACGGGTCCGGGGCGCCGGGCACAGGGAGGCGAGAGGAGCCGCGGCTCCAGGCCGCTCCCGGGATCTCCTCCATCGCTGCCGGCTCCGCACGGCGCTGGCCTGGCCTCGGGGCTCAGGGCTAACGTGGCCTTGGAGCCGCCGTGGCCTTGGGGCCTCTCCAGCCTTGGGACCACCGTGGCCTTGGGGCCTCTCCAGCCTTGGGACCACCGTGGCCTTGGAGCCACCGTGGCCTTGGGGCCTCTCCAGCCTTGGGACCACCATGGCCTTGGAGCTGCCGTGGCCTTGGAGCCTCTCCGGCCTTGGGACTGCTCCGGCCTTGGGACCACCATGGCCTTGGGGCTGCTGTGGCCTTGGAGCCACCATGGCCTTGGGGCTGCTGTGGCCTTGGGGCCACCATGGCTTTGGAGCCTCTCCAGCCTTGGGACTGCTCCTGCCTTGGAGCTGCCACGGCCTTGGGGCCTCTCCAGCCTTGGGACCACCATGGCCTTGGGGCTGCTGTGGCCTTGGGGCCACCATGGCTTTGGAGCCTCTCCAGCCTAGGGACTGCTCCTGCCTTGGAGCTGCCACGGCCTTGGGGCCTCTCCAGCCTTGGGACCACCGTGGCCTTGGGGCCGTCCTGGCTCCCTGGGCCGGCTGCGCTCAGCTGCTCTGGACTCTAAGGGGCTAATTCTGTCTTTCTATGTACTTCCAGACTGCAAGTTTTTGAACTCTCTGTACAGTTTGTGAGGATTTTTTGCATATTGCCATCCATGTTGTTCCGAGGTCACTGTTTGTTTTTTGGATGCACAGTTTCATTGAGGCCCTGTGCTCTCGGCACCTCTCAAACCAACCGACAACTGAGGATCTGAGACCTGTGTACATGACTTGTATTATTATTCTTGTATCACTGCAATCCATATACCTTATTTTTTTTAACTAAACAAACAAACAAAAAAAAAAGAATTTAAAGACCAAAAACTGTGCTGGCGAAGTTTGTCCCCCCCTTCACACCTCCGATGGGCTGCAGAGGAAGCAGGAAGGATTTTTGCTGAGTTTTAGTAGAGGTCTTGATCTTTGGAATGCATGCCAGTAATGTATTTTATGGTACATGTTAATAATTTATGTTTGATATTTGTATTTGTGTTCTACTTTGTTCTTTTCTTTAAGGTATATGACTATTTTGCAATAATTTCAATGATTCTTAGGATATTTGGAGGAAAGATTATGGCTTTTACATGTCTTGAGGTTTTTCTTTGTTGATGCCCCACCATGATTGACCAGTGTGATAAGGACTTACAGAAGCATGTATGTTTTCTACTGTTTGTAATAAGTAATTTCGTTAATCTTGCTGCTTATGTGCCAATTTAGTGAAACCAATCTTTGCCGCAACCTCCTCCCTCCCTCTCCATTCTCTCGATCCTGTGATATTATCCAAGAATGTATCAATAAAGGATTTTGGTTAACTTTTTTTTATTTACTCCAATAAATATATTTTTTCAGTTGTTCCCTCCCCCTTCCCCCTCGTGACTTAACATTTATTTCATGACATTGTCGGACATCCAAAAACCCATCATGGAGGGGCTTGTGCATGAGGAGCAGGTCTGGAGAGAGTCCTGGGGGAGCTGGCAGCTGATTGAAGGGGGTGAAGTGCTCAGAAGGGACTTTTGAAGTCTGTAACCACCCCGAAAAGCAAGCTGGAGTCCCACGGTGCCAACCTGCTGCCAGTGTTTGATACCTCCAAGCTGCCGTCAGCTGCTCAGACTCCTGATGCCTTTGAAGGACACCACGTTCAACAGCACACCAGAAGGTAATTACCTGAGCAATTAATCAGAGTCAATCTGCCAGGCACAGGCTGGGTGAGCTGGGGCAGGAGAAGGGAAAAGTTGAGGCAAGAGGTGAGAGGAAACTCATTCCCTTTGCAGCACAGCACCTTCGGCATGGCAACCGCGGCTCGGCTGCTCTGACGGAGCCTGGGGAAGGTATTTAGCCTCCCATTTTCTGCAGACAACTTGATCAATTATCCTGATGAAGTTAATCAGCGTCAGGAGGAGCTGTGACAGCTGCGGCAGGGCGCGGGGAGATGAGGAGCTGGGTGTCACAGGCTGCCTGCTCTGCACGGCCACGGCTTGGGGGCACCTTCTGCACCAACTAGCTGCGGCAGGGCGCGGGGAGATGAGGAGCTGGGTGTCACAGCCTGCCTGCTCTGCAAGGCCACCTCGGCACCAACTGCAGCTGACTCCAGGTGGAACTGCTCCCAGGTAAAGGCTTTCCTAGCAACAAACTAATTACCAGCCAGCTAATAATGAAGGCAGAGGTGCTGCAGCATTGTCCTTTTCCCATAAACACAGGGACAGAGCCGGCGCTGGGCTAAATACCTACATTGCCATCAAACAAATGTTTCTTGCTCAGAGATTCTCTTTTTTTTATTCTGAATGGGAAAAAAATGGTTTGTTGGTTTGGTTTTCACTTTATTTTGGTGAAGGAGGGACTGAGGTGGAAAGAGGGAATGGTGCTGCTGAGAGGGGGTGATGGGATCTTATTGGAGTTGTTTTACCCCATTCCAGGCAGAGCATCCTGCTGCAGCACACACAAACAGAAGTGATAATCATAATCATACTGGTTGTGTTATTTTTTTTTAATATTTAATAATACAAATGCATTAGGATTTTTTTTTAATCACCTCCACCCCTATTTCTATGCATTAGACTCTGAAGCAAGTCCCTGAGCCCAGCAAGGCTCTGGTTTAAGAGCTGACACAAGGTGAAGATGTTGCACTCTGCACTGTGGATCAACTTTTATTTTTATTTCACAACTTATTGGAGTTGTTTTACCCCATTCCAGGCAGAGCATCCTGCTGCAGCACACACAAACAGAAGTGATAATCATAATCATGCTGGTTGTATTTTTTTTTAATATTTAATAATACAAATGCATTAGGATTTTTTTTTTTAATCCCCTCCACCCCTATTTCTATGCATTAGACTCTGAAGCAAGTCCCTGAGCCCAGCAAGGCTCTGGTTTAAGAGCTGACACAAGGTGAAAATGTTGCACTCTGCACTGTGGATCAACTTTTATTTTTATTTCACAAACTGCACCACACTATTACACCCACACAGCTCCTTTTCAAACACAGAACCATGAGCCTTTAACTCCATTAGAGTCTTTTATTTTACAATTGGCTGCACTTAGCATCAGTGCAGTGTTACCATTGTTTCCATAACAGCTTCATCTCATTCCCCAGGGAGTACACGCTGGTGTCATGATACTGGTTTGTCCCTGCAGTTTCTGTACTGGTTTGTCCCTGCAGTTTCTGAACTGGTTTGGTCCCTGCAAATTTTCTGTACTGGTTTGGTGACAGGGATGACTCCTGGGGTGTTGGGGACACCTCCATGGAGATCAGCCCCAGGGATGACTCCTGTGGGGCTGGAGCACCCCCTTGCCCCCGGGCTGTGCTGTAGGACCCAGCTGCAGCCAGGAAATGTTCCCTTCCCATGGTGATGAACGTGCTCTGAAAAAGCCCCTGTGATCATGAAAGGAGAAAATTCCCCAAGAATGGGAGTGATTTTTTTTTTTTTTTTTGTCGCCGTTTATTATTGAGACTGAATTACACCAAATTGTTTTGGTATGTAAATGCCAAGTTTATTGTTCATTAAAATCATTGCAGAGTTAAGCTTTCTGGGCATGTTTTATGATAGATAATGACAATTATTTAGCCCGAGTCAGAGCTTAGTCTTAATTTGTGACATTAATTGCCTTTATATATAATTAAATGCACTATAATGCTCCCATATGCAGAATGTGTGCATCCATGAAAGTGCTAATCAAACATATTTATTAATTTCTGAGAGAGCTTTTTGTCAGGGCTTTGATACAGTTGAGTGGGTTTTGGTAAATAACATTTTTTAAGATGTTTAGCAAAATATTTTGATAATTGCTTTTTGTGCTAGTGGCATAATTAATATCATTTCTAATAGATTAATAAGAGCTGAGGGGTGAGGTGCTGCTTCCATCCAGCTTTGCCTCTGGCTCCCGTGGAGTCACAATTCCATCAGCAGCCCTCAGTGTCCCAGGCCTCTCCCAAAACCACTTCAAAAGGCACATCTGGAGTGTGCTGGGGGCGGCTGGACGCAGCTCACACACCTGGAGCCCCAGGAGGGCTGGGCTGGGCCTTGCTTCTGCTCCTTGCTCCCCCTCAGCCCCCACCTGGCAGCACAGGGACTGAGCCCCCCACCCCCACACCTGGGGCTGCCAGCGTCCATCCCTGCTCCACTGGCACCAGCAGAGCCTCACTCCGTGTGCTGGGGGGACAAGAGACGAGGGTGATGGGGCAGGGGGAGCAGGGCTGCCCTTGCAGGGTCCTTTCTGTCCCCTGGGAGCTCCAGGGGGAGCAGGGCTGGCTGCTTGCTGTCCTTGATGCAGCCACAATGATTTAGTATTAATCAACAGTCATTTAAACCATGATTTAATTTGAACAATTGAATTTTATCATTAAATTGTAAATTAAATTAGTATTTGATTTTAACGATTATTTTGTGTTAATAAAAATTTATTCTCTGAAAATTGGCCAATCACTGGAGCAGGGAAGTGATGGGATCCCCATCCCTGGGAGAGTTCCACAAATGAGATGTGGCATTTTGCAATTTGGCTGATGGACATGGTGCTTGAAAGTTGGACTTGATGATCCTGGAGGCCTTTCTCCAACAACCCACATATTTATTTCCATTAAATTTTCTTTTCAGCAAATTCTGTTATGTTATACCATCCCAAAAGAATACTCTCTCTTTTTTTTTTTTTTTTTCCCTTTTTTTTTTTTTTTTTTTTTCCTTAGGAATGATCTCAGCTTTATTTTTTCCTCCAGTTTTTTGGTGCTGAGCGTGTGACTGGTGCCAGAGGGTGGCACTGGGCACACCCACAGCCCCTTCCCCCAGCCCAGGGAATGCCAAAGCCCTGACCCCAGGAAGGTTCCAGCAGCCCAGAGACGTGCACAGTCCCAAACCACAATGACAGAACG